ATAAAGGCCAGTAGCTATTGCAGGTATTGTCTCTACCACTTTCTTAATGCCTTTGGTGATCAAAACAATATTAAGGAAATCTTTCATTCCTTCTTCCCATGTTTCAAGGTGTAAACCATTCAACCTTATATCCTTGAAACTCAATAGGTTCCGTTTGGAACTTGGGGAATACAAGGCATCTTTAATCTCAAGCTGAGTGTCTCTAGGCAATAAGATATAAGCCTGGCCGTGACCCTCTAAAAGGTTAGCCACGCCTGCAATAGTGTGTATATTGGCACTTTGCATTGTAAGGTTCACAAAATACCGTTTGTCTTTAAGTATAGTATAGCTAGAACCACTATCAACCACAAGTGTACTCATCACTTCATTCATCATACTATACATAAAAATTCATAAACTCAGAATATAAATAAATAAAACTCATATCATAAATAAAACACCAAAATTCATAACAATCATCAAGCAATCATTCTTCTAAAATAAAAACACCAATAACATAAATAAAAACCAAAATGTCAATCTGATTAGTCCTTTAGACAATCAGCAGTCTCATAATCCATATCAGTTTTCTCAAGCTCCTCATCATCATCAGCATCATACCCGGAACCATGAACCATATGGGCCTCCGGGTTCTTATCCTTCATTTTCTCTTGATAAAGCTCAATTAAATGCTTAGGAATTCTGCATTGCTTCTGGAAGTGTCCAGTGNTGGTATCAAGAGCCCACTGCAGGTAGTTATCTCCAGAGAGATTGAGAGCTGAGTAGTCAAGGTTTGCAATCTTAGACATCTGAATCACATAAACCACACACATTAGGGTTTCACAAAAACTTGTGATTCCTTGACTACTTTACAACCACAAACCAAACCATACTTGTAACTACAATGATCATTGTGAAGACAAACAAAAACACACTATTATGATCACTCAAAACTCATATGGTTTAGCATTGGTCGGAATGGGTGAGATGACATTAAAAACACATGCTGGTGGGATTTATTAAACAATATGAATGCAACCAAATTCAACAATATGATGCAATTCATAAAATCATTCAATCACACAATTAAACAAAATCAAAACATACTAATTCTCCCCCTGATTTTATTAATTGTGGTAATTAGGGTTTCAAGGCCCTTAGGTCAAATTTTAAAATCAAGAAAAAATAGGGTTTTCAAGGCCCCAAGAACTTTAAAACAGGCGGCTGATTTAAAACAATCATCCAATCAACTTTTAAAAATTTTAAAACTTGAAATCAGAGTTAAAACTTTCATAAAAATCATTCAAAAGGGTTTTAACAATTCTTAAAACAGGTTTTAAAACTTTTACAATCATAAAAATCAGTTTTCTTAAAAAAAAAACTTTTTATGCAATCAATCATAAATCAGATTAGGGTTTAAGGTTTCAATGCCTTATGATCTTAAAAAGGTTTCAAGGCCTTTAGGATTTAGGTTCTTTAAAATAAACAATCAATCTAACAATCATAAATCTCAAACAATCAATTTAAACAATTAAAATCCGATTTTAGGGTTTAGGGTTACAATTCCATAAATTAGGGTTTTTAAATTCTCAGATATGATCACAGAAACAATCAAACAAAATTAATTTGGAATTGATTTCAAGATGAGGGTGAAAGAAAGGTAGAAGGGAGAATCAAATTCTAGTTCATTCAAATTTTAGGGTTTAGCAAAAACAATCTTAAAAACTATGGTGATTGTTTCTATGTTCTCAGATTAATGTGTATACCTTTTCTTTTGCAGATTTAAGTTAACCGGACCACCAAGAACAGGAGAGAAGACCACGAACGGATCACCGGGTCGTCTAGGGTTCTTGGACGAGAAAAGGAAATTCTCTGACGGCTGGAACGGCTTGGTTCTGCTATCGGCTAGGGCTTCCACCGGAAAAGGAAACTCGACCGCAGGGGAAAAGGAAATCGGGTGAGGCGGCTGGTCGGGAAAAAGGAAACTTCGGGTGGGAACTCGCCGGGTAAAAAGGAAACTCGGCTAGGGTTCTCGCCGGGAAAAGGAAACGCGGGTGGAGGCTCGCCGGGAAAAGAAAACACTCGCCGGAAAAAGGAACTCGGGTGGGAGCTTGGTCGGATGAGAGAGAAAGCTCGAACTAGGGTTCAGATTTCTTTGCTTGAATTACCAGAGCAATTCGTGCTGATAACGTGTTGTGAAGAATAATGAAATCTGTGTCTTATTCATGCTTTAGAGGTTCCATATATATATGGGATACAAGAACAAGATAAATGGAAAACATCCAATTCCTAAAGTAACAAGGAATTGGAAATACATAGAAAAGTAAAAGGGAACCAGCCGCCTAGACTATTGGGTCACACGACCATTGGGCTGGTCCTAATCTATCTAATGGTTATGCCCATCCACTAAACACTTCATAACAGAAACAAGCTGCGAAAAGAATAAAGATAGAAACGAGCTAAATATATTATGTGAAGTAGCTTATCATAAAGTTCAGTTTTCTTCAAATGTTAGTACTGTTCAAAATTAAGGTGGTTTCACGTCTGAAAGAGGAAGAATCTGTTTAGAAAAATATGAAAGTGTTGCTCTTTAGTTCCTTCTCTTATACAACATTGAATGGACGGATCACAAGCCAGGCTGGTCCTTTGCTTTGGGTGCTGAACCTAACAAGCACCTCTCATTTCATATCCATTACACGTAACTGATTCTTATACGACAAGATACGAATGGAGCTTAAGCAGATAGGCGTGTAATAACCTAAAGAATGACCACTATCTGTATGTATATGATCAATGTTTTTTTTTCTCTTCTAGTTAACACTTTCCGACGCCAATCTTAGTAGTAGTGGCTTTTGTATGGGCACACACACACTATACAACGACACTCTCCACAATAGGAAAATAAAACAAAACGAGGCAAAAATCTCGTACCCGGTCTTTTTTCTAGTTGGGTAAAGACATTTGTTAGCAAAATTTGTTGAGACTTCTTCTTCTAGGAGAGATTGAGAGCCATTTGTTGAAGAAGTTCTTTCTTTTGAGATGCGTTTATGACTCCTTTGCATTCTGCATCGAGTAAAACCTCGTTCATTATAGCTGCGGCATGGCCTCGAGGTTCGTCTGATGCTCTTCTTAACATAAACACCTGCCCGTGGTGAGTTATCTCCAAGCAGCCAGGTTGCTGAATAAACGGTTCTCCATCTATTTGAACAGGGAAAGGACTTGACACATGTATTCTCACTACCTTCCCTTGTGCTAACCTCCTTGCCTGAGAAAGACCCACCTGAAAAGAGATGAGTTTTTAGTTTTTTGAATCAGTTAAAATAAATCTTTTAGCCTCCACATCAGGAAGAAGAGTAAAGAGCAATCTGAGAAGATATTAGACCTGTAGTTTCCCAAGATGCCACGCTCCACGGACACATACGACCTCGAGAGTCTTGTCGTGCATACACTGAATGCTAAAGTTATCATCATCATGTTCATAATCATTTTGCCAAAGATCTACTCCCCCCATATAGCTTCCAATGTTGAGTACTATAAGACCCTCTGAATCCTGAAAGGGGAAGAAATTAGAGACATCAGTTCCTAGAGGCAATAGCAACAACAGCGTTTGCCTTTTTAGTAAAATAAACTTCAGTGACCAGAAAATCAAAGAATTTTCTAGATATGAAACTAAATGTAATTTGCCAGCTGTGATTTTTATAAACCGATTGTAAAACCAAATTAGATGATATATGTTTAATGAGTAGTGGTCGAGGTTTCAATATTAGCAAAGAACAAAATGGCACAACACTGAGGAAAGTGACTTGGAAAAAACCATGTAAGAACACACACACACACAAGACGGGGAAAGGACTGGGTTTTGTTAAAGTGTAATACCTTGGGAATCTCAATGTCTTTTCCATCAACTTCAAGCCAAACTTGCCATGGTAAATCGGCACATGCTCGATCCATGATATCTCTCGCACCTTCTTTAGCATATCGTAATTTATTTACAAACTGCACAACAAACAAGACAAACAAATACATCACCCGTTTGTTTTGTTTAAATAGGATTATCGTTAGGTTAAGCAACAATGCCTACAATACCAAAGATAATGATACGTAGCATCATCCACGTACTGGTGCTCAATATATTATTATACCATATAAGTCCCAGTCAAAATAAACACAAAAGGAGTACCTGACTAGAAAACTTCTGTGGGTTTTCTTGCCGCATCATGTGAAACTCGTATGCAACCTTGGCATCGCAGCCAATACCTAAACAAAGAAAATTTCAGCTATACTTGATGATCCAAAACAGAGGCCAAACAAAAACAGATTCCATAAATGTACCTAAGTAATTCATCATAAACTTGTGGCTTTCTTTTGCTGGAAAATTTTCTGTTCTCTCTTCTACAATCTTTACACTCCAGCGATCCAGCATAGTAACCGCAGCATGGTCAATGTCTTGCAAAAACGTTCTTAGACTGCCCTGTCCATCAACTACTGAAACACCTCTTCCCCACTGCAAAACTCTAGATAAATCGTTTCCTGTGCCTAACGGGAGAATAGCGACAGGTGGAGGGGATTCGAAATTCCGCTTCTCAATGGCATCAAGCACCCACGCTACAGTTCCATCTCCCCCACACACTAAAACTCTAAAGTACTTCACTTTGCTAAATAGGTCTAGACCAGCATCTGGCCCTTGACAAGAGCCAAGTTCAAAGACCTGTAATACATCAAAAGATATTATCACTTAGTGAGATTATACTCAATAGACTCAAAATATTTAAAAGCAAACAAACTTCTTTGAACAACATTAACTAGCAATAAGATGAAATTATAAGAGTATGAATTTCATATTTCAAGCCATCACTTGCTGCTGATAATTCTATTTACCTGAACTGGATTTAATAGCATATTAAGTCTCCTATGAAGAAAAGGACCGAGTTGACCTCCGCTTTTGGCATTAATAAATACCAAAAGCGGTCTTGCATCTGGGGGCAAATCAACCAAGGAATACTTCTTCATAAAATTTAAAGCACCATTTTTACTTCGTTTTGGTGTCCCTATACCATTTTGCATTCCCTTACAACTAGGCATGTCCGAGACCTTCTTTACGCAATCAATGCTCCTATCCCTGCGTAGTTTCTTCACCACAAGCCCATTAACTACGCTTTTCACAGGACTGTTGGCTGAATCCTCCAATAATATCTTACCGCTAATAGACTGGACATTCCCATTTTTACCTCTATGGCGCTTTCTCCTCACCTGCCCTCGTATAGAAGCTAACTCGTTTGTAATATTACTCAATACTCCATCTACACCATTTTCTCCACTGACTTTCACATTTACCGGAGACAGGATTACCCTTCTGAGAGAGCCAAGATCACAAGCGTCACCAGATTCCTTGGACATAATCATGTGACACTTTACATGTATGAGGCGCTGGCACCAGAGACAGTGCCACATTGGAGAACCTTCAATGAAAGGAATACCGCAAGGCTCATCACAATAGAAGCAAAAAGCAGACATGTCGGCGTTATCATCCATGTTAACCCATCTCTCAGACCAGTGATGTCGGACATGGTCAGATCCAGCCTGCGCAACGCATTTGCAGTCTTTCGCCGCGGAGCCAGAGCAGTAAAAGTGAGCTGCTACACCACAAACAGAACATCTATGAACAGGAATACTCAGAGCTGCTTTGTTAGAAACATTCTGGCCTGGAACAAGGGAATACAAACAAACGCAGCAGGTGGATGGCTGCGGCCCACAACCGTAATCATCCGTCCATTGATGATGAGAAAGTGGAACTCTCAGTCTTTTCCATACCTTCTTCTTCTCTCTAGCAGCAGCTTTAACCCAATTCAAAGAAGTTTTGTTTTGCCATTTGAGAAACGTGTACACAACAGCCAGAAGCCCAAATGATCCAGTCACAAGCCATCCGAATATAAACGGACTATCAGCACCAGACCTGATCAACCAATGAATAAGAGAGAACCCAACTTCCATCATTGCAAACCTAACAAGTCATTTCCTCTATAACTTATACCAGTAGTAGAAAGTATCTGCCAGAAGATCACAAAACCAAAGAGAATCTGTAAGCAGATACACAATAGATTACCAAGAACTGGGTGTTTAAAAAAAAGGGGGAAATTAGGCTCAATAACACCAAAAAAAAAACATAATTCACTATCTGACTAAAATCCTCCTCTCTCCATTCCTCTTCCTATCTCTCTCCTCCCTCTCTCTAACAATCTTATTTTCCTTTTTTAATGGTTATTACTCAAATAAGCCCTTTAAAAAATCAGTCTAGACGGCACATAGGAGTCTAACTAGTTGGAAAGTCAGTCTAAGCATTTAAAAAATCAGTCTAAGCGTTCAAAAAATCGGTCAGATCGTACGACTAAACATTAACAGGATGTAAGACGCCTAACCACCTCCTAGCGATTTCTTGAAAGCGATTTCTTGAACATTGTCGATAAGGCGATAACTAAACACAGCCTAGCGACTTCTTGAACATTGCCGATAAAGGCGATAACTAAACACCGCCTAGCGATTTCTTGAACATTGTCGATAAGGCGATAACTAAACACCGCCTAGTGATTTCTTGAACATTGCCGATAAGACGATAACTAAACACCGCCTAGCGATTTCTTGAACATTGCCACTATAATTCACAAATTCACAATATAGCTAAACAATTCCGCTTCCACGAAAGCTATAGTACACAATCTCATACTAAATCATGAACAAATTAGTTTGATTAAATTCTAAACAATGTTCAAAAAAAAATAGCTAGACCGATTTTTTTGAACTACTCTACTGAAATAAATTGGTCTAGAAAAATCGTTTAAATCCGATTTTTAGAGCAGTGATTTTAAATATACACCAATTCAACTCTGTTTCAGTTCCACAACGAATAATCTAACTCACAAATCGTCTAAAATCACCAAACAAATAAACCGAGAACCGATCAAATCTACGAGAAACGGAAAAAAAAAAAAAAAAAAAAAAACAAGTCTAAAATTTCCAGATCTGAATCGAATCGTAACCGTCGAGTTAAAAATTCAAAATCCATACCAGGTGAAGTCCAAATCAACGGAGATCGGCGACGTTAAATCAGAGCCCTATGATTCGCCGAAGCACCAATCGAAAAAGTTTTCTTCTAGAGAGAGAAAAAGAGAGTTTTTATAAAGGAAAGGTGAAAAGCAAAAGGCGGGACTGTGGAGTCTCTATATACGCGTTTACAAACGCGCCTCTCTCTCTCTCGTGGTACACGACGTGGGAGCCACGGGTTCGTCGGCGTTGGCTTCTTATTAGGGTTCTGTTGATTTTACGTTTATACCCCTAGCTTAAATTCTGGGTGACGTCACTTGCATGGAAAAAGAGCCAATCGGAGGAGTCTGATTACTTATTTATGACTTCTCTATGGTGTGTTCGTCACATGCATTAGATTTTGTCAAACTGAAAACAAATTTTTATTTTTTTTTGACCATTCAATTTCCTAAGTCAATAGTTAATTGTTTATTTATTTTCTTTACTGAAAAAAATTAATTATCAATAACCAAATGGGAATAGAATAAGGGTTTATCTATTAAATAGCCATAAAAAGAAAAAAATAGATTTTTAGAGAAAGGGAAAGAGAAATAAGGAAAGTGGAGAATTTTGGATAGATAGGGAATTATGTTTTTTTTGGTGTTATTAAACCTAATTTTACATAGAATAATGTTAGATTATTAAACCTTTTTCCAGCCTAAAAAGGAAAAATCAACTAAAGATTATGGCTCAATGCACCAGGTTTCATTATTACAAAAAAAAAAATCTGATTTTTATCTTACGCCAGGTAGTGGAAAAAGGAAACCATTAAATCAGCTTTAAACATATTTTATTTTGACCGTAAATTCCAAGTCAAATAGTTAATCACTTACTTATTTTTATTATTAGAAAATTAAATTAATAATCAGCTTTTTAAACCTATTTTATTTTGACCGTAAATTCCAAGTCAAATAGTTAATCACTTACTTATTTTTATTATTATTAAATTAATAATCAAACATGAATAGAATTATTGTTTTTTTGGACAACTTTTAAATAATGTTGGATTATTTTATTTTGACCATCGAATTCCAAGTCAATAGTTAATCAAATAGGGATAGAATAATGTTGGATTATTCTTTTTACAAAACAAAAACAATGTTGGATTATTAAACCTTTTTCCAGCCGAAAAAAGGAAAAAAATCAACTAAGATTAAGGCCCAATGGGCTTACTTTCCTTTTCCAAAAAGGAAACAGTGAAACCCTAGAAGTCCTATAAAAGCAACCTATCTGACAAGCCTTTACCTTCTGTTCCTTTATTCGTCTCTCTATCTGCCTCTCTCTCTTAGGTTAAATAATCTCTTTCCCTTACAAAGCAAACATGGATCACGACGATCAACAAAGAAAATACTCTGTTCTCACAAAAGATGATCTCAAAGAGAAGATGAACAAACAAATCAACGATCTCTCCGAGATCTTCTTGCTTTCAAAAGCTGCTGCAACCACACTCCTCATGAAACACCTGTGGGACTCGCAACGCGTTTCAGAGCTTCTGAGCGAAGACAAGACCAAACTCTTGGTCGGATCAGGCTTGGAAGTAACCGACGACTCAAACTTCTTCTCCGTGGAGAAAAACCTAGCTATGCTCACGTTGGAAGGTAGAGAGATGCACGAGGAGTATGTTGTTAGATCTTTCATCGAGGATAACAAGGGTTTGATGATCAAAAAGTGTCCATCACCGGAGTGCAGTTACGTCATTGAGTTTCACCGAGGACTTTATATTGACGAGTACACTCTAAACATTGTGTGTCTCTGTGGTCATACCTTTTGTGGGAGGTGTAGCTTTGAGTCACATAGACCTGTGACATGCAACAACGCTTCTGATTGGTTGAGAGAGTTGGAGAAGTTATCAGAGAGGTCACAAAAGTCACTGAGTGTTTCTTGGATCGAAAGTAACACGAAGCCTTGCCCTCATTGCAAGTTTCCTTTAGATATTGGTACTCGTACATGGTTGTTCCGGTTTGTGGATTGTCCCTACTGCAGGTTAGTAAAAAAAAAAAAAAACTTATCTTAGATTTTCATGTTTCTCTAATTAAGTGTTAACAATGTTCTAGAAATTATTAGGTAGTAATTTATAATTTTATAGGGGATTAGTAGTGACTACTACGCCGCCGCCTAGGTTAAACTGATTCTTTTATTTAAATAGAAAACGTTTTGCTTAGTGTTTTTTGTTTAGTGTTAATAATCATAAACTAACTTACCATGTTCTAATTAAGTGTTAACAATGTTCTAGAAATAGTTACTCTATAATTTGACTTTTTATAGGGGACTAGTGCCTAGGCTGCGCTTAAACTGATTTTTTTTTTTAAAAAAAACGTTTTTTTTAGCGTTAAGTGTTATTAATAATCATAAAGTAACTTAACAATGTTCAATAAATCGTTAGACTATAATTAGAGTTTTTATAGGAAATTAGTGCCTGCGCTTAAACTGTTATTATAATGAAAAAAGAAAGTTTTGCTTAGCGTTTAGGAGCTGCCAAAACTCGATTTTTAGTGTTATAATTTGTGTTTACTCTGTTTTTTTTTTTTTTTTTTTTTTTTTTTTTTTTTGTGTGTGTTTACTTTGTTGTTTGTTAATAATTCCATAAACTAACTTTGTGTTTACTCTTTTATTTTGTAGTGGTCGTTTCTGTTGTTTGTGTATGCAAACACATGAATCTCACAAAACAGAAACAGGAAGATATGGCTACTGTGATGCACCATCGTTACCACCAGTCATGAAGGGACCAAAAGTGGTTGTTACGTGTCTGGATCGATGGGAGGCGAGTGATATCGCAATGGTGGAAGCTAAGTCCGAGCTAGAATCTTTCAACGAGTCCAACTTCACGAGCCAAGAGTACATAAGGATCATGAGAGAAGGCTTGATGCTTATTGTTCAGTGCAGACAGTTTCTCAAATGGAGCTGTGTGTACGACCACATCCACAATAAGTACGAGGCTTCTAAGAGAGAGTACTTGCGGTTCTTGCAAGACTATGCCAACACACTTGTGCAGAGTTACTCGGAGACTCTGAAGGAGGAAACTGTGAAAGTGGTCTCTGCGGATACTTATGAAGAGACTAGAAGCTCGAGGTGGAAAATTTCTAATGCGACGAGTTGTATTGGTAACTACTTTTTTCACTTTACCAAGACTTTGCAAGATGGTATTGATGACGTGAAGGTGAAGTCTTATGACAACGTTGGTGGTCCTTATTGGCTTTGTGATCGTTGCACTGCTGGGAACAGTTGGTTTGATGTGAAGTGTAAGATGTGTTGTGTTAGTGCGACTCCTGTGGAGAAGAAGTTAAGAGATTTGTCTATTGACTAGGTTTACTTAAGAGCTTTTGCATGAAACTCTCTCGCACCTTTTGAGTTTTCTTTGTTTACAGTTTGTGTCTTTTTTTTTTCTTCCCTTGGTTTTGAAAACCTTAATGTTTAATAAATAAATGGGTTTGCATCAATGAAATCTAAAAACAGAGCAAACTATAATGGACTGCCTGCATAACCAGGCAATTAACATCAACATCATCATGCTATAATAATCATTTCTTTTGTACAAATACGAAAATTAATTATATGTTATGGTCTCATATGATCTATTACACAGATAAAGGTTGTGTTTTCCTTCATGTTTCCACTTAAAGCTTGTGTGTTTTCTTAGTTTTCTAACATGTTTTAGTGACTATAATGCAAGTCACTTTCTAATGCAAAGTTTGTTTCCAAATATCTTTCCTATCTCTATTTATTGCTCTATCATCTTGCTGAGGATAAATCTGATAGATTCCTGATCAATGTTTGAGTCTTCTCCATCCCAAATAGCCGGTAAGGCATTGTATTGGAATCAAACCGGTCCATTTTACATGAGAAACGAAAACCAACTACAAACCGGGTTTTTAAAAAAAAAAACTTTTATGTCGAATTTACGCTTTTGCCCCTGTCTGTTAATAAAAAGTACGCTGGTTCATAACTTTGCCCTTCGTCACCGTTGTCCTCTCCCTTCATCGGTGTTTCATCCGTCTCTAGATTCGATTCGGAAAGTGTCTCTGTCTTTATGCTCTAAACAGGTGAATTTCGGGTACTGAGACTGTAGATATACCTTTGATACACATATTGCAGATAAGGTGTTCGATAAAATGTCTGAATGATATTTTCTCTAAATCGTGTCTTTAAATCACTCTTTTAGGACATTCTATCGATTTTCCGACAAGATGCACGTCTTTCTCAAGGACATACTCCCCGCAGCGCAGAGCAACATAAACACGCGTTTCATCATCCTCGACAAAGCAAGATCATCATCCCTGCACGTCACGAGCGTGAAGAGTTGCATCGCGTTAGCTGCGGATGAAACGGCGTCGGTTCACATACATCTGTGGGGAGACGAGTGCGACGCGTCCGAGGCAGGGGATATCGTGAAGCTCACAAATGGGATATTCTCTTACGTGCGGAACAGTGGGTTACTTCTCAGAGCTGGGAAGCGCGGGAAGATGGAGAAGGTTGGTGAGTTCACGGTTGCGTTTGTGGAAACGCCAAACGTTTGTGAGATCCAGTGGAATCCTGATCCGGAGTATCCTAAACGCTATATTAAGAACAGCGTCGTTTCGGTTTATTCCCGTATTTTCCCGCCTTTGCCTTGAATAAAATATTTTGTATAACCCAAAATGTGTATTTATACTATTCTCCCTAAACATTTTAAACAAGTTGTTCTAAAAATCAGTGTCTCTCTAGTTATAAGTTGGGTAAGAACAAAACGATTTTCTCAAACCGATTTTATAAAAAATTGGTCTAGGCGTTAAAAAAATCGACCTATGCGTTCGACTAATCAATAATCCTCTATAAAAAAATTGGTCTAGGCGATTTTTAAAACATTACTTTTAAATAATACTCCTTATGTTTCTTAATAGATGAAGTTTTAGAAGATGTTTATTGTTTTGAAATAGATGATATTTTTGATATTTTTATATTATGTTTAACTTTATTGAAAACCCTGGTAACCAGTTAGATTTTGCAGTTATTTATATAATTACTTGAATGAATTTTAAAATTACTTATTTATTAAACAAGTAAATGCATCAAGACTTGTCCACTTTTTTTACAAGAGTTCTTCCAAGGATCAATCAGGGAATCAAAGATGGTGATGACTTTGTATTGTTGTCTTTATATTCTCATATATTCTGACTAAAACTTTCATAAATAGCTTAATCATTCCTTAACCTTTCATAATTCCAAGAAACTTAGGTTGGGGCTTTGTACTGATGTTTAACACTTTTTCCTAACAAAACGATTCTCTCACAGAAGCATTTGGTCGGGAGGGAAGTCCAAAGTTATACATAAACGACCTTACATAGATGAAAGAGCTAAGAAGCAACGACTTCTTAGGAGATTTTCAACATTGAACCAACACAAGAGTGAAAGACACATTCATCTAAGAGACCTGATGTTGTTTACATGAAGCTAACATGAAAGAAAGAGTAATAAACTTGCGGTCTCTGCCTTGGGTGGATTTGCTTCACATGCGTTTCGGGGGAATGTATTGTACACGCTCTTCTTGGCATACGTGCTAAACAGAAAATCACAAAGAAAAACAAAGTTAGAGGAAAGTGTAAACTCAGTGGACATGTTATAATTTTGAAACACAAAGGTGTGTTTGTGATATGTTTGTTACCTGCATTTCCTCTGTAAGTGGCTCTGAGACAGCAAGAGTGTAGCAACCAGGAGCAAACTTCCCTGTCAAATTCAGAAAATATAACACAATTAACTAATCATATGCAGTCATGAAAGTACAAGGAGCCAAAGTATCTTGAAAATCTTCAGATCTAAAGCTAAATTCAATTTTATACTGCAAAAATTAAAGAACATACCGATTCTTAACCACCTAGCCGCCCAGCTTCTACTTGGATCCATCACAGAGATGATACTGCAAAAAAAAAAAATCTTAACATCAGCAGCTATAGATGAATACATCAACTTAAACATAACCCACAAGTCCCCTCACTATATTTTCTAGAAACAATTCTTAAAGCAGTAAGCTTTGGGAGATTCACCACTACTAATACATCACTGATCCAACAAAGAATGCAAGTCCAATAAAGAAATTGAATTTCATACAATGCAGTATCATCATCACTCCAAGTTCAGAACTTTCCACTACTAAACACCCAAGTGAAACTTTTGAAACTCTAAACCAATAAATGCAGAAACTTAGCTACCAAAAGAAACAGACGAAAATTAAATAAAAGGTTTTCAATCTCAGGACATACAAAACTTACTAGTTCACTTACTAGGCAGGTTAATGAACACATCAACTTACAAAAACATAACCCACTAGTTACCTCACTTCATTTCCTAAAAACAACTCATAAAGCAGTAAGCTTTGGGAGATTCACAACTCACTGATCCAACAATGAATGGCTTTAACACTAAGAAAGGTCACCTCATACATTCATAAAAGGAATTAACTTTCATACTAAGCCAAACATCACTCCAAAGATCACAACTTTACACTAACTACACACCAAAGTAAAGACTTTTTGAAAACCCTAGTAAGTTTATGAAACAGTATACCAATAAATCACTGAGATCCAACAAAGCAAGCAAGTTCACTAATAATAAAGTCCTGAACTTTCTACTACTACACACCAAAGTAAACCCTTTTGAAACCCTAAAATAAAACCCTTTTTACCAATAAATGCACAAACAAAGGGTTTGGGATGTAGAGGAAATTACATTTACATACCCATTGAAATTAGGAGTAGTGACCTCGACGATACGCTCGTGATCCTCTTCCATCTTGAAGAAAGGACAATTCTCACACCCTGCGTCCCTAAACTGTTTAAACAACAAACAAACAAACAAACAAGCTTTAGAAGAGAGACAGAGAAACCCTAATAAGAAAGAGAGAGACCTGGTCATAGGTCTTGACGAGACGGCAGCGAAGACAAGCTCTAAGCTCATGGCCGAAGCTTGTCGGAATCTGTGCTGGTGCGCTTCCCATTACGTTCTTTCTCAATCAGACAATCAATCTCTCTTTTCCAAATCCCACTCTCTCTTGTTTAGGAAGACGATGAACCGTATGTGGGCTTTTAGGGCCTTTTAATAATATTTGGGCTTTAAGTGGGCTTTATTTATAGCCTTCTTAACAAGTAATTCGTTTAAAAATAATCTGTTTGGAAAGACACAAAAACAGTTACACGGCGGCAAAAGAAAATATATAATCTCCTCAACGCGTCAATGGTTTACTGACTCTCGTTTGAATGATCGTTTACCTGTGAAAAGGTTCCATCTTTCATCTCAATTCTCGAGGTTTTGATCATGTACAAAGAGATGCTCTGTTTCAGAGTGCTCTGTTTTTGGAGATGTTTTGCTTCGATATTGGCCATTGAGCTATCTTGATTTCGTGATTTCCTCGAACACTAGTTTTCTTTTTCTCGACCTATTCAAGGGCTTTACTGATTTTACTTTGATTGATCATTCACCTGTGAAAAGTTTCAATCTTTCATCTCAATTCTCGAGTTTTATCGTGTACAAAGAGTGAAAGAGATGCTCTGTTTCAGTATACTCTGCATTTCCTCCAAGATTTCTTCTTTCAGATTCCTTCTCTGTCCTTTGATTCTATCTATGGCTGTCTCTGCAGGATAGATAACGCTATGGAGGAATCATTGATGCACCAAACTTTCTTCAACTATCCGACGAAAAGTCTGTGAGATTACTCCTATCCGAGTGCACTGTGATTTCCATAATGTTCCTGATAGTGATTTGTCTTTATTCTCTTATCATTTCTGTGATGATCAGAAAATCCCTTCAGAGACTCTACAGGTAATAAATAAAGCCTATGCACCAATAATGATTTTGTTGTTTGTTTCATGTTATGTTTACTATATGTGAATTGGTTCAGGTATTGAGTGAACATACAGATGAAGTCTGGTTTTTGACATTCTCACATGATGGCAAACACTTAGTTTCTTCTTCTATAAAAAAAATAATTTGATATTTTGTGTTTTTTTTTTTGCTAAAATTAACATCGTATAAGTCATGCATTTTTTTTTCAATTTATCAAATAGATGTTACTTCAAATAACAAGGAAAATTATTCACTATATATATAATATTTATTACCTAGAAAAATATGATTCCAATACAGATTATTAATTTTTTGCTGATCCACTTAGATATGTTTTTTTTTTTTTATCAGATTGATGCAGAGAGGAAGTTTAGGCAGAAGCATAAACTTGTGGGGCACAAGAAACCAGTAGTAACAGTCTTATGGAGTCCTGATGATCAACAAGTCATTACATGTGGAGAAAACGAAGTCATCAAGCGATGGGAAGTTGGTTCAGGACAATGTGTTCAAACCTATGGAAGAGTTGATGAAGCTGGTTCTGTTTCTTGCGGTTGGTTTCATGACGGTTCAGGTATCATCGGTGCAATGTCAGACAGAAGAATCTACCTGTGGAGTTTAGACGGAGCCGAGATGGAGCACGAGCAAGAACAACGTGCGCAAAACCTTTCTGATGTAGCCATGACTAGTGATGGGAAGTGGATAGTAAGCGTGGGGGAGGAGCAGCACGAGATCTCGTTGTTTAGTAGAGAGACCAGAGCTGAGAGAGTGATTGGACTAGATGAGAAAGAGATGGTTACATCGTTCTCGCTTTCTAGAGACGGTAGGCTTCTTCTAATAGATGATCTCATTTCAGAGAAGATCCAACTCTGGTGCATTGAAGGCGAACTACCGTTTAAGGTTGAGAGCTTCGAGGGACACAAGCGTAGTCGGTTCGTTATCAGGTCTTGCTTTGGTGGGTATGATGAAGATTTCATCGCTAGTGGGAGTGAGGATTCTCAGGTATCTAATGTTTAGCATCTTTTCTTGACTCTCAAGAAACATTTTTGTGTGATATTGGTGTGTCTATGTTGTTTTGTAGGTATACATATGGCACGTAGTGAAAGGGTTGAGACCTTGTCGTGTGTTGCGTGGACATTCAGGAGCTGTGAACTGTGTGAGTTGGAACCCTGCTGATATTCATATGCTGGCTTCAGGGAGTGATGATACAACCATAAGGATTTGGGGACTTGCCAAGAACTAGAAGAAGTGGTTCAATGGTGAGACTTGACTACAGATTTGATTCTACTGAATATTAATTCATCATGTACATATGGATAATAGTTGGTATGTTGTTTGCATTCTTTGAGTACAATGGAGAGATAAGAACTAAAATTTTGAATATACTAATAGTGAGAACAAAATAGCAAAAATGCATTTTTTTGGGATTATATTTTGTTCTCATGTTGATGCTTCACTACTTCTCATTTTGTCTTTTAAGTACTACTCTCTCCATTTCTTTTTATATGATGTTTTGTCTTATTTTACAAAGATTAAGAAATGCACATTTCTCTATAAAATATTTTTAAAGGTATAATTTTAAAATCACTCAATTAATTATAAGAAAACAATAAAATTTTGTTAGTTAAACAGTTTTCAATAAAGTTGAAACTTAACTTTAAAATTTCAAAACATCATATTTTGAAGCAACATAAATCTTATAAAACATCATATAATTTGAAACGAATCAAGTATTTATTTTGTTGACATTATGTCTGATTCATCTTGAATAACAAAATGAGAAACATTATAATTATTATTAGAAACTGGAAGGAAGAACACAACATGTCAACAACAACAGTAACATTTTTAATGGAAAAGAGAACAAATAGTTAGCAAAGACGAGTACAGTAACATTTCCGGTGGAGACCATGGCAACGACCACCGGAAAAGCCCTCGCCACGGCAGATATTAGCACAGTTGTGGCTGGACAAACATATGCTCCTGAAGTGATGGCTCCTTGATTGGCACATCCTTCCTTCTATCCCAATAACCTCCTCTATAAAAATATTACACATAAATTAAATTAATGCACATATTAAGAATGCAACATATATAAAAATAGAAATAGATATAGGTCATGTAAACAGGCACTTGTGCATAGTTCTTTTAAGCAATCTTAGTTTAATTATCAGGGATACTAATACATAAGAAACTTCAAAACTAGCAATGGTTATGGAGTAGTGTATATATAGAAAGAAAGAAATGAATGAATGCAAAGATTAATCTTACGAGATGAGAAGAGGACTAGAAACAAGAAGAAGGCAGTGAAAACTTTGTTCTCCATTTATAGTTTTTGAACAATTAATGTTTATATGAAATGCTAGAAAGTAAGTTGATGAGTTGAGGAAGACCTAAACTCCATGACTTATATATATATAGAAAGGTTCATATAGTGTGGTTAATGGTTCTATTTTTTAACCAATGAGCACTAAGCATTCATTGGTTTATTATTTTATTGGTTAAGTGCTGTGATCAAGGATATGTGGACAAACGATGGCTTGGAACTGCACACACAAACAAACAATGGGGAACAGTGGTCGGCACATAACAATAAGCAACAACTAACAGTTAATTAAATCCCTAATTAATTAAGAAAAATTAGTTTCCTTATTGGGATATGGTGAAAGAGAGGGCCAGTCACGTGTGGACTGGTGACACCAGTGCTTTGTTTCCACGTGACAAGAGAGCTGAAAACGCACAGTTTACCACACAACACCACACCAAACTTTGCTAGTCACGTGACTATAATCACTTTACTGTAGTACTGAAGACTAAGAGCATGATTAATCCCGAGTTCTTAAGGCGGGGTTTTTAGCGGAAATTAAGAAATTATTTCTTAACTTTTAACTAAAAACGCTAAGAACTTGTTCTTAAATAAAGATTTTAAGAACCGATTCTTAACATTTTTAATTAAAAGTTAAAAAACTGTTTCTTAATTTCCGCTAAGAATTCTAGGTTAATCATGGTCTAAGTCACAGGGCAATTTGGTTTTCAATTTTAGTTTTTCGGTTCTACATAACATATCACAGTAAATAGCACACCACAGTAAATAGCTTAGCTCATGCTTCTCGTATACATAATCATATTTCATCTAATGTGCTATATTTTAATTTAACATTACTAGAGACACAGCAACACACAAAACACAAACTTTTCTGTGTAAATTACAGAACCTAAAAGGAGCAAAAGTAAAAAGAATACATATACTTATGATGAAACAGAGCTTTTGTGTGTGTGTTTCATTCACTGAAGTCAACACTTCCACTGCGTGAGCTGCTGCCATCTTGGCTATGCAAAGAAAGACCTCTCATATGACCTGGCAAACCTCCATCAACTTTCTTCTCCTTGAAAAACTTTTGCCTCTCAACGTGTTTTGCAGGTGGTGGTGGAATCACAACAGGAGAGGAGGACTGAGAAGGGCTATCACTATGGACTGATGACTCCTCTGATGGTAAAGGACGAATCAGTGGACGGTTTAGTCTTTCATTATGGATTGCTGATCCAAGTAAGACTTGTGGATGAGGTCTTGGCTCTTCTTCATCTTCAGGCATTGCTCTAGCTTTCCCTTTTCTCAATCTACAAGCACACATTTTACATAAATAACCATTTCAGATTCCAAGAATAATGTAATGTTAAGGAGACAGACCTTCTGAATAACTGTTCAGGCTCCTCTTCCTCATCCTCATCTTCAAGCATTAATTTGGTTGATTTAGCATTTCCATTAGAAGCGTTTAGCTCATGTTTCTGGTGACCGTTTGAGGTAGAATGGTAACCATTAGATGTAGTAGACCTGCCTCCTGACACTGTGACTCTACCAGAGAGTAAATCTTCATGTCTATTGAGAATCCTCTGAAGCTGCTCATTCAATTCAATTGCTTGAGAAACTGCTCTTTCATCTCTGCATCAACAAAAGCCTATCTACTCTGAGAAGAAAACATGTCATCTAATCCAAGAGAGATGCAAAACTTGCCTTGATGTCATTACAAGGTGCATTACACGCTCTTTCTGAAACGAGCATTGCTCCACAAGATCAAGAGTAAACTCATCTTTTGCTCCCTAAATGGTCAAAAGCAGATCAAACTTGAGTTATCATTCAAACTAAGACATGAACATTAGGTTATATTATATACCTCAGGATTTTGAGAATCAACTGCGTCAAGCACTTCCTTCAAAACTTCTAATGCAGCACTAGCCTTTTGTAAAATGCTACAAGCAAAAGAAATATATAACAGATTAAGCTCTCTTAAAAATCTAGCAAACATATAGCATTAAGGTACCTAACATGTGGAGAAGGAGAGGTGGTTTGAGATTCTCGCTGCTGAGTAGTAGAAGAAGCAGTCCTCTCTTTTCTAGCAGATGCAAGTTGTTCAATGAGTGTATTTCTAGGAACCGCTTGTGCAGTGATCACAACTGGTGGTGTAGAATTAGATCTCTGAGGAAACTTAACTCCTGCGTTCTAGAAGTAAACAGAAGATAACAAAAAAAAAAAAAAAAAAGCTTAGTCTTATGATAAGATTCATATAGCTAGAATGTTTCAAAAACTTACCACTAAATCATAGTATGCTGAATAATACTGAGGGAATCTTCCTGAAGCTCCACCAAGAGAGGTTTGAGTTGCATCAAGAAGGAGAAATATCCTCTCTCTTACAGGCAAATCCGTCTAAAGAGACAAACAATATGCAAACTAAAATAAGCAGCTGAACTCTCAAATTTAAGTAACATAGAGAAACAGAGATGGAACATACTTTTTTCTTTACTATCTTGACAAGTATAGGGAGTACACCTGTATCTATAACCAGCTTATGAATATTCTCTCCTATGTTATTCATCAACATCTCCAGCAACTGCAAGAACAATGAATACTTCTAAAGCATGATCCTTTGGTATAAAATGATAGATTTAGTTAGACCAGGAGCTTACCTGGACAGCATATAATTGAGTATTTGGGTTCTTGCTCCCTAAGCGTTTTTTGATAGCTTTGATAACATCTTTTGCTTGCCTGTTTACAATAGAGAAAAAATCATTTAACATATGAAAAAATGTTAAAGTATGTCCTTAGGTGATTGATTATACATCAGACAAACAATGATTAAAATATTGCACTAGTGTCACATTTATATTTAGAAGATGTTATGGCTCGTTCATAACCTTTCATCTCGAGCAGTTAGTTCACAGATCTCAATGTTCTTGGCCCAATCCATTTCAGCAAGCTTTTCACTTGTTGCAGAATTAACAAGCTCTGCAGCCATTTTTTGGTTAAATCTGTTTCATCACAACAAAAAAAATTAATGTTTTGATATCTGAATCACGCTAAATCACAAGAGAATAGATGTGGATGTGGTAAAGCTTAGCAAAACCAAAAAAAAAAAAAAAACTCAGAACCAATCAAAAAGAGTAAGGTTGATCATACCATAAAGGTTTACTCAACGCCTAAGCTTAGAGTCTCCCCTCACTTCTCTCTCTCTCTCTCTCTCGTCTACTTCAATTAAAAAAAAAATGTCTTCAATTATAATTTGCTCAAAACATGAAAATATGAAAAGTTTCAGACAAGACACAATCTGAGAACAGAACATGTCTTTTTTTTTGACACAAGAACAGAACATATCTTAGATCAACAGTGACACTGTTTTAGAATCAAGCAAGACATACATAAAGTTATCATCTTTCCCCATCATTAGTGTCTCTCTCTCTCAGCATCAAAGAGATCACTCAAACGATCAGTGATCACACCAAATCATCAACACATACCCTAAACCCTAAACCCCAAATCTAGGACAGATACACAACTCAGAAAACAGAATCAGACGGAATAAGACAAAACATATCAAGCTGTCTACAACCTTCTGACCCAGAAAAAAAAAGATCTCAAACAAAGAATCAAAGTAACTTCATTGGATAAAGATGAGAGTGAAAAACACTTACTTGCGATAACGAAGAAGGAGAAGATAAACCCTAGTCACCCTTGAGAATTTCAGAGAGACGTATAAAGAAGAAAGACGAAACCTTTTTTTTTTTTTTGTGCACCTCTTCTTCACTGGAATTAAATCAGAAAATATTTATTTCCTTAATTAACTAAAGTCCTTAAAGACAGACAGCAATCTTCTGTACTGATGGTTTCTTTTTTTGCAATTAGGTGAATTTTTTTTAATTTAAAAATAAAATAAATAAATCAAAGGTTGTAAGAAACAGAGCATCGCCACGAGGGAATTGTCTGAAAGTGAGAGGAAAGCTTTTGTTGGCGCGGCGAAGAGAGATATTATATTAAAGTCACGCGCTTGTGAGCTTTTAACCAGTTACTGACAGCCTGGCTAACGCCACGTGTCATACGCTTTCATTTTAAGGCGAGGACGCCAAAAAAGAAATATGGCCTATACAGGGATCGAACCTGTGACCTTCGCGTTATTAGCACGACGCTCTAACCAACTGAGCTAATAGGCCTTGTTGATTCTTAACTCTCGAAAGAAGCTAATAAAACTAACATTGATTAGAATTGAGTTTGGAATGAATAACTGGCCCATTTATTTTGAGGCCTGGTTATGATATTTTGTCCCGAATGTTGGAATACGACCCGATTAAACGGATCACAACTTCACATGCACTAGAACATAAATATTTCAGGATGGATCCTCTCTCAAGACAAAATGCACTTGTAGTTTCTCAACCAATTGAAAAGAGTGTGAATTACCCTCACCCGTTCTGTTGATACAAACACAGACTTGAAAGGTACGACAAGTATCAACCCGCCACAAGTAACTGCGGGTGGAAATACAACGCGGAACATGGCAGTAGATCGATGCCAAGACCAATGGTTGCACATAAAATGCACATGATGCAACCACAAGGTGTGATGGCTTATAACTTCCCGACTTAGGCTGTGATGAACCCTAGTGTTCCGTTGCCGCAGCAGCACGGGATGGCTCAGCCTCACCAGCAGCCAACAACTAAGAAGGAAAGATCCTGGATTGGGTATGTTTGGTTACGCACCTCCTAACAAGACCAGTCTCTATAGAACTCAGAAGGTAATACCATTAGTTTCATTTCTTCTTCTAGCATTGTAATGAGTTTTGGCGCAGAGGAAAGCATTGTGATATTCTACAGAGTAGACTAGATTGTAATGCAGCATGTGGTTTCTTACTAGTAGTATCGATGGATTGTGTATTTTATAATCATTCTCTCAAGTGTTTATCTTAATGAAAGCCAATCTAAGTTAATGGTTTAACTTTGAAATGTGAAGTAAACCAAATCTGAAATGATCAAATGCAAAATAATATTTATTTTCATAAATAACTTATAATTGTTAATATTTAAAATAAATAAATATTATATGGTGATATGTTGGCTACAAAAATGCATCCTTCAAGATATCAGAATTATTTTGTTTAATTTTCTTAATTCAAATTGTCTTATTTTGTATTTTACATGTACAATATTTTCAAACTTACTCAAATTCATCATAATTGATCATTAATCCACCATAATATATATTTATTTTTATTAAAAATATGTATTAGTGTATAATTTATTAATAATATGCATGCATTGTGTAGATTTCTACTTACTTTGTGGTTGCACGAGATTCACGTTCTTCGTGTAATATAACTTCTTGAAAAGGTACTACCACAGAATACCCACTATATATCTTACTCAAGAGCGGATCCATAATTGTTTTTAATACGACATAATCATTTTTCGTAGAACTAGTGTTTAATTTATAAATATTTCAATGAGCTGGGGCACATGCCATACCTCCTCTTGTCATAGATCTACCTACCAAATCATTCAACTTATGCAATAACTAAGAATTCAGTATGCATGCAATAGTTCCATACCTATTTTGTTTATTTTCTCGACATTTTTCAGTACCTTATATAAGGTCCGTGAAGCTAATTTTTTCTTACTATGTTCATTTGTGGGGGTACATTTTTTTTTCAAGTCGGATACATATTACTTGTAAAGTTCTATTGTTTGTAAGAGTGGAGTCGGCTAGGTAACCCAACATCCAAAATTGAAAGGTAATCATAAGGAATTTTCACCCCAAAATATGAGAGATTTTCAAACATGATAAAATACCATATGAATATTTCAAATGTAGAATTTATTGAGTGGGTTTTTTCTGTTTCCAGATATCCACATAATATTATTTTATTTTAAGAATCCATCATAGATATTTGCACCACCCACATTCGATTGTTTAAGGAATAATAAAATTTGTTAATCATTGCAAACATAAAGGTTTTAGTATTTATGATAACCAATCATATAGAAAAAAGTGGTAAAAAGTGAAGTAATGTTTTAGTTCAAAAATAAAGTGAAGAATGACTCACACACCTAGGATTGGACACAAATGCTTGATCCTCGGTTTGTACTCGATACTTGATTCGGTTTGGCTTGAAAAAACAAGTACTTGCTCTATTCAAGTCGAGTAACAAGTTAACAGATTTTATTACTCGCAAGTACAAGTCAAATACAAGTTCATTTTTAACTATTTGGTTTATTACTTGGTTTATTACTTGTTATCCTTTACTTGTTACATGTCATATGTTATTGGGTTTATTAAATACTTAGTATAAATTTCATTAATTAATTAAAATTTATGTATTTTATTAGTGGCCACAATTACTTGTTACTTGTCTCATGTTCACTACTTGGTTGGTACACGATCCTTAAAGTCGAATATTTGTTTTGACTAAAATGTTTATCAAGTAGTCTATTTAAACTATCTTCAAATACAAAAAAAATTAAAATGATAAAATTAAAATAATTATTCAGCGTTGTTTCGTTTATTATTCGGTTTTTTCAATGAACAAAAATACATTTTCCTAAATCATAGTAAAATAATTCTTTTATATTTCAATTTTTATAAGTGAATCAAACAAAATTGATATTTATATAAATATTTCGGAATTTTTTATTTCTTAATATAATCTATTTCATGATTGATTAAAAATCAGAAAACAATGACAAAATGAAAACAATGACATATTATTTATATATATAAATTTATTTACCTTTAAATTTTAATTAATTATCAAATAATTTATCAATAGTTATCAAGTAATTTGTAAAAAACAAGTAATAAAACAAGACAAGTAATTTGCAAGTCCATCAATTTTTCGCAAGTACTTGAAACTGCAAGTATTCGTTTTTAACAAACCAAGTACAAGTTCAAATTTGAATACTCGTACAAGTAAAGCCGAATACTAAGTATACCGAAAACACCAAGTACTCGACTTGTGCCCACCCCTACATATGCCTACTACATTCACGTGTAGCTCTTATCAATATAAACCCATACGACACCTCTCACTCCAAATACATCTAAATAAGCAATAATACCATCAGGAAAAGGAAAAAAAAAAAGAACATGGCCGACTCAGTCATATCAGAGTTCCAAGGAACATCGCCGGTAGATATTCCCATCATCGATCTAAGTAACCCAAACGAAGACCTAGTGGCACATGCAGTGGTGAAAGCTAGCGAGACATGGGGAATGTTCCAGGTGGTTAACCACGGGATCCCCATCGAGCTGATGCGACGGTTGAAAGAACTTGGGAAAGAGTTCTTCGAGCTGCCGGAGAAGGAGAAGGAAGCCGTAGCGAGGCCAGCTGACTCCACGGACTTAGAGGGATACACAACCGATTACAAGAAAGATGGAGAAGGTAGAAAAACATGGGCTGATCATCTCTTTTACAGGATCTGGCCACCTTCAAGAATCAACTACAGATTCTGGCCTAAGAACTCTCCAGATTACAGGTACAATTATTAGAATGTTGTTTTTGTCCAGTAGTATTTTGTGAACTCCACTTGTTTTTTTTTTTGTTAAAAAAACATTTTTCCACTTTATTACACTAGTGAAATATTGACCCCAAAATTTTAAAAGATAATATATCTGAAATGTATGCCTTTAAAATTGATAAAAAAACATTTTTTATTATTTTTGTTCACAAATTGTCAACTACCAACTAGTTTTGAATTGAAAGTACAAGATAGACTAGTTTTTGTTGGAATAATATTATCGTATAAAAGTTTTATAAGCAATATACTCCATCTGTTTTAGTTTATTAGATTTTTTTTTAAAAATGTTGTTACAGAATAATGATGATTTTATTATTCTAGATAAAATAGAACATTGTTCGAGATTTGAATCAATTACATAATACAATTTTATTGGTTGAATTATTTTTGTTTGAGGATTTTTGTTTAAACAATATAATTTGTATAAGAGTTTGCACTTTCTTAGGCTGTATTTGTATTAATCTTAAACATCGAATACAGTTAAAAAAGTGATTAATGTATTTTGTATTAGGGAGGTGAATGAGGAGTATGCAAGGGGAATAAAGAAGCTATCGGAGAAGATCATGGGGTGGTTATCAGAAGGATTAGGGTTACATCGTGATGCGTTAAAGGAAGGTCTCGGTGGAGAAAAGGTGGAGTATCTCATGAAAATCATATTCTATCCACCGTGTCCAAAACTTGAACTGCTCTACGGAGCTCCTCCCCACACAGATCTCAATGGAATCACGTTCTTGATCGCTGATGAGGCAGATGGACTTCAAGCATTTCAGGACAACAAGTGGGTCGACGTCAAGTATGACGATTCCGGGATCGTTGTCATTGTCGCCGATCAAATCAAGGTATAGACAAAGTTTTGAACATTTTCAGACAAGTTTTGTGTGGTTGGTTTTGATTCTTGGGGATGTGGACAACATTGGCTTAACTATGTGGACTAGCACTCTACCGCCCCGGATCATGAAATTAAGGGTATAATATTTTTCTGGTTTGGGCTTCGGTCCAAATAGTTTACATGGTGGATCGTAACAGATGATCGGTTCACTCTTTAACATTAGTTGGAAAGTATTTCAAACTCGGGGCATGCGGTGTGATAGCCACTACACTTTATAGCACTAAGTGCGTTCCTCTAAGGGCCGGCTGACCATAGAGTTTATTAAAAAAAAAAGGATCTAATGTTTAAATTGAAAACATATACATATCTTTAAATAAGTTTTATTTTCTATGTTTCTATAAAAAAAAATTATAACATTTTATACAATAGTTTTTTAAAAATTATGTGGAGTTTGCAGAGGATGAGCAATGGGAGGTATAAGTGTGG